CCCCAAAACCCCAAAACCCCAAAACCCCAAAACCCCAAAACCCCAAAACCCCTCAAGAATTAAAATTCTTGAAAATCCTCATGAATCCAAATTAACCCACTAATTGACCAAAGGTTTCCGTAGCTGTGGCTTGGTTTTGATATTCGAAGTTTTAAGGAATTATTTTCGATACCTCGTCTTCTTCTTGAGCTTGTCCTCGAACTTGGTGGACTCTATGTACATCTTGTTCACCTTCCTGTAGTACTTGGCGAAGAGGGATGAAGATATCGAAAAATCGAAGTTTATGAGGGTGATGAACCTGGTCTCCATCAGGTTCAAACCTGGAATTGAGTACTTACAAAACTCCAGGAAATCACAGTTCCAGAAGCAACAATCCTCCCAGTATTTACAGGATAGGATGATACTGGTAAGGACCAATGGCTTCCAGTTGCTAGCACGTAGCTCTAGCTTTGCCTTTGAGATAAGTCTTTCAAGGTAAATCAGAGTTGTGAGGATTCATTCCGAGTCGAGACTCAGTTCGGTAAAAATCCCAGTTATGAAGTCTTTGATCTCTTTTTGTAAATATCGATATTTATCTCTAACTTTCTTGTCAATATTCTTTGGGTGATGTCATTTATGTAATTTTAAAAAGCAACTCTGTTCAACCTCCTCAGATCCTTTAGGATCTTTACAGATCTCTGAGTGCTCAGTTTTAGCAACAGTGAATTGGAAAATAGGGAATGTGGTCGTCATTGGGTAATCACATGTTGTTCTTATGCTCCTCTTTGAAGGAAGAAACATTCCTTCATTGAACATTAGTGCATTTTCTGTTGGTTTTTCAACATTGAAGTGTGAATATCAGATACGGTAGTACAGCAAAGTGGAAACCATTTTCGACATCGCTTTCATTTTCTTCTCGTAAGCATTTCTGCTAATAACTCACTTTTCTTTTCTCTCTTCCTTAAGTGTTTCCAGGGCGATTCTTCTTCTCATTCTTGGTGAGCCGATGGCATCTGAATTCTCATTTGAAAAATCTTTATTGTGAGGCATCTGGACACTGTATAATACTTGTTCATATATTGAGTATTTACATGAGTCCAATCCTACAGAGTTAAAATTTAAATTCCTGTCTGCTCCATCCGCCCTGGATATTTGAATCTGTTTTGGTGATTGAAAGAAGAGGTCGAAATCACTATCTTTATCTGAAGAGACCAAGCTATCGTGAGAGAAACCTGCCTCTGTGTTCATGTTTGCTGGTGATACATCCCTTGTTTTGCTAAATGAACGGTGAATTCTATGACTCAGATACACTTTGTAGCATATAATTTAGGATATTATAAACATTAGGAAGTGGTCACAGTCATAAAGAAACTAGATCTTTAGAGGATTGTATTTTGTAGGTGATTTCATCGCGAAAACTAAGCCAAGAGATTTCCAATGAAGATTTGTGAATTTTTACATACTTATAGGTAACTGTCACAGATGCCATTTAGGGTGATTTTATTCAAAATATTTATAAATTTCAACCTTCTTTTTTCTAAAGGGGTTTTGGGGTTTTGGGGTTTTGGGG